AGACAAATATACAAACTGATTTACTCAAGGATCCATATGTTCGTATGGAAAGCTTAATGACTGATATAAATGATCCTATCCAAATAAATCGATATCATAGGTGATTTTGAATGACTTTGATTTTTACTGTCGGTTTAATGGTTTTCGTAGGTGATTGAACTTCACAAGGCGAACTATTTTGCTTTTCTAAATATGCTGTCTTTTCGACCTTCTCATACTTCAGAAAACAAAATTATTAAGACATTGACAAGACAGATAAAAATCATTACACTTCATTATCTTCACTTTAATGTCCTGGATAAGTGGAGTTGAAAATCAAGGTATGCAGAAAAACAACTTGATTTTAGATGACTATGATTTTTGCAACTTCGCAAAATCCAGTTCATTAGGAAATTTTGCACCAATTTGCAAGCCTTAATTAGTGCACTTGTTTTGCAACAAGATATGATGCATCTTTACTAGTTGTTAGTGTAGTGCTATGGTGCTACTTTTCCATTTTTTGCTCAGTCTATGGTGCTACTTGCTACACGTGTCTGTAAAGAAACCTGTTTCACTGATAGCGATAGCAAAAAATCTATTGGTTTCCTCTCTCAAGAATTTATTAATTTCCTTTCTTCAATTCAAAATCTGAGTCTACATGCTTCTCTGTCTATCTCTTTCTGGGTATTGTTACACAAGTCTTCGGTAGATAAAGTCTTTTAAAGAGCAAAAAGAATAGAATATAAACGGATGGAAGCAAAATAGATTAAGGAAAAACATCAATTTAAAAAATCTAGCCTTAAGTATCTATGTAGAGCAAGAGGTTTGCTCTTTGGGTCAGAATGTTGTTCTAAACTTATTGAAGACGCGCAACACACAGATGGTGCCTCTTCATCCCAGTGATGGGGTGGCATTGCAAAGCAACCGTGCAAAGCTGCTATTTGGTTTTCTCATCTAATACACTTCACACTTTGCAAAGATTAGCCTGCAAAATTTCAACTAACAGAAAATGGCGCAACACAACAATCATTTATCTACAAGTCAAAAGAGCCTCAGTGGGATTTGATATTGAACTTCCCACGAACAGGACATTATCATGGATAGCAGTAAGCCACAGGCAACATGCATTTGAATATGAAAAGAAAATCACATATGATACATTCTGCATTGCCTTGGGAGATATCTTTCTTTTATTTTTGGCCTGGAGAATCGATGTCAGTTGGAATTTTTGGGAAAATTACTTTATGTTCTGTGGTAACATAGAAGACTCTATATAAAAAATTTCATTATTCAAAAATCACATGCATTCTGCATGTCTTTGCTCTTTATTAATGGTTATTTGCCAAACCAAATGAAAAATGCATCCTTTTTCCTGTTTTAGTCAAAACAATCATTTTCCTATATTCTTGCAATAGACCATGAAAACCCTGATCTGGTAAATGTTAAATTTGTATATGAGTTTGAGCTTTGCTTCTTCAATAGGAAAACCATTTTATAGAAATTATGAAGAAAGTTTGTTGTTGCATTTGAACAGATTCTCTACCTTCTTTTCAATCCAGCTGTCACAGCTCATAACCTGTCAACATATTGTATATCATTGTACATCACATATGAGAAATCTGTTTGGAATATTTGAACCATGATGAGCAAAATAAATATATAGATATTTGAGCATCATGTTTGTTGATGTTTTGTTTTCTCAAGGCAAGGAAATTCAACTCAAATAAGAACATATATAATAACAACTTGTTAAAGGCGCATTCAGTTGAGAATCAAGATAATACAGTCTTGGAAAGTGTTAAGGCCGAGATATCAAGCTTCCAAAAATCAAAGTGAAGAATAAAGTGAACATGGAGTTATCACAGTTCTTCCCACATGAAGGCTAAATTATTTCTGACAGAATGCCAATGGATTTATATATTCAAGGCAAAGAAGTACTAGTTGATCAGTGAAGGAGAGTAGAAGTAAAGAACCAAAGACTGAAATTGGTGGCAATGCCACCTAAGCTTAGCTGAGGTTCAAGTCCTCTCTTAGTTTATGAAAAATAAAAATATAAAACTATAAACATCAAATAACTTATATATGCTGAATAGAACATTTATTTCTAACTCTTTTCCACTTGCGTGTTTAATTTTGATGCATAAGTTGACTACCATAGTCAATACTCAGTGGAGCTGTTGGCTAACTGGAGTTTATGCCGCAATAGATAATACCTCCAATCCCTTTCCTTAATTACACCAATCACATTTTAGACTTGAAGACAAAATCCTAACCTTTCTCAATGAAAGCAATAAGACCAAAGTCCAAACCGAGCTGTTATTAGCAACTCTTTATATTAAATCTTGTGTTTAAAGCAATAGTGAGAATATTGTTGTAGAAATAAAGTGTTAACAGCTATTATATTAGCAAGAGAGATAATCAAAAGGAGGGTATTGGAAGGGAATTTTCATGACCAAGAAAAAGCCATTAGAAAGGAGAATTTGTGACATATTAATTAATAACACTAATGATAACTTTAGGGAAAAAGAAGTTTTTAATGAAAGAGAAAGATAATGAACTTTTTCTTCCACAAAAGTAGATAATGTATATCATAATATTCCTCATTTGGTAAAGCCTGATTTGAAGCATCCCACCATAGAGTTGAGGGAAAATGGGGGAAAGGAGTGGTGAAGGGACTGGGCCGGTGGTGCTGGTGGTGGAGGTGATGGTGCTTTTTATATGTGGGGCCACAATACTTTCACTCCCATGGTTATCTGTCAAGAGCCATGTGGAAGTTCTGGAACCAGATCTTCGGTACTCTCCATGGAATTGTTGGCCTGCAAGGGTGTTGGCCTTTCAAAGGTAAAACACACACGATAATCTTGTTTACTTAATCCAAAGATTTTGTACAAATGATTCCAAAATTCTCTACCATGCTTAAAAAAATTGAGCTGTATTTAAAGAAGTTAAGTTTATATTTGATTGGCTATCTAAGCATAGGTTTGGGATTAAACTAGTTTCTTAATCAGAAAGAATATGTTATGCTTCACAAAGGTACATGTAATTGTGTATCTGATAGGCTTGTTTACTGACAGACTTTGGAGTTGAAGTAGATTGAAGGGAATAAGTCTTTCAACATTTTATATATTTAGTGGAGATAAAGTTAAATTGCTAATTAAGTTTTCTTGATAATTTACAGGACATGCCACATTACATCAAACAAGAACTGGATCCCTATGGAATTTGACCACACGATTTAATTATGTTTGTAGGGTCAATCTCTAAATTAGATCTAATACTAGTATTGCTATGTTTTAAAGTTTTTATCGACTTGAAAGTTCAAAGCAGGTTGAAACTGGAAGTCAACTGCAAACAGTATACCATAGTGCTAGCAGTTTAACTGAATTTAGATTAAGAGCTTCTACCTAATGCATCATTAATCACGGTTACATTCCTTTCCAATGATCCTGAATTAATTAGCTAAGTTTTGCATCTTTTAGCTACCCCAAACCCTATGCTCAGAACCCAAAGGCCATAAGGTCATTAAAACATTCTTGCCAATGTTGAGTAGTAAATTTAAGCTCAATAGAAGGGTTTGAATGGATTACCATGGATTTTCTCTGTTCCTGTCTGAACACGTTCATGAGATGCAGGGTGCTCCCGAGATCAAAGCCCTCCACCAATGTGGGCTCCACTGCCGAGACCCGTGTTGACCCATGTGAGGGAGAGCCAGGATCTTGGAGTTCTCATCACTGAGAGTGCTACGAGACAAACAAAGATCGAAGCTTGAACTTCATTTTTCTCCCCTATATTATCAAGAAAATGTGTATGATAGATTTCTGTCAACAAGAATATTAGACCCTTGGTGCAAAGATATTAAAGCCTGCCTTTGTAAAGCAGGGATCCTGTCCCTGTTTCCATTGATATTCAATGAAACTTAAACGTTAAAAAAAAAAAAGAAATATTAGAACCTTTGCTTCATTACAGATACGGAGGAAAGTCTCAACATTATTAAGAACTCTACTGGATCAATTTCTCACCCTATGCGGGAAACAGGGAGTTGAGCACTAACAAGCTGCTCAAGTTTCAGACACAACTTTTAGTCATGAACAGTATTCTTTCAAAAACAGTTAGCCAACCAACTTCCAATCAACAGAAGCATAGTTTTCACTAATTGTTTACTGTACATTCACAAACTGTAGCAGTCTCACAAGTGAATTCAATTTTGGCAGACAAGGTTAGACAAAACCGGCCATTTCACAAGCAAATATGTTCCAGAAGTTGGGTTATCAAATTTGTGTGCATAAATACATAAGGATAAATGCAATCCATTTAATTTAATGTTTACAGGCGACGAAATTCGTACTCTAATTCACTGTAAGTGGATCAATTGTTATTCAGACCATCTCGTCAAAGTCCACCGGCTCATACATCATGCTGTATGTGACTACAGTGGATTCCTATTTACATCTTTATACAGCAAATAACGTGACCGAGTTTTGCCAAGTGCAGCGTACCTGAAATGGCACCAAAATGTATCAGTCTGCAAACCCAGAATCAATCTGCAGAAATTAAAGGAAGAGAACATTCTGACATCCTAGCAAGAAAAATTGAGAGGTTATATATTCCTCACCATTGCGGCACAAATGGTGCCATCCAAATTGCATCGCCTGCTTGGACTGGATACCTATTAACAATAGAAAAAGGAGTAAGGGTATAAAAATGTGTTTTGTGGCAGATGCTTGTGGGAAAATATGGTGAGAACACTAGGCATATTGCCTTGGAAAAGCATTAGTATGTTTCTTAGATGTCTTATTACTTACTAAAGCATGTGCCTGTAGGCAAGCACATGCTTTGAAAGAACTGACAAGACATCAAAAAGAACACAAGTAACGTAGAACAAGTAGGGAGATGTAAAGATTACAAACAAATCCATAAATACTAATACAATCTCCTAGATAACTCAATCCCTCAACTAGCATAACTGCATCCTCCATCAACACTCCAGCATACAAAATTGTTGGCAAAGAAATATAAAACTAAAAAAGGAGAAAATTTTTCACATCTTCTCCATGTAGAGCTGTAGATACTCCAAAAGGTTGTCAAAAGCTATTTGGAAAATTCAAGTTTCCATTAAAGCTATGCATAGCTGGTATGTAAAGTGTGATGATAGTCAAAATTATCAGGATCCTTCCTAGAAAATCTTGGCACAATGGCTCATGGAGAACTAAGACAATAGCTAGACAATTTTGCAGTACACTTTACCAAGGTTTCAATACTCAGTTATGACTCTTACCAGCTATCACCCAACCGATAAATGCCTTGTCCTTCTAAAAGCAACAAACCATGTTGGTTATAATGGACCTCCTGCAAAAAGAAATAATTGGAAAACTCATCTCAACAGATGCTCATATTAATGAGGCACTGGGTTAGTCATGGTAATTGAAGTATAGAACAAATCATAAGTGGACCATAATATTGACTGACCACATGTATTTAAGCCTCAAATTGTATCATTAAGAACGATTATTGGAATTTAGCCTAACTTAAGAGTCTATACATAAGACGTATTGGTTAAATTATTTTCACTTTTTCCTTCTATTTTTTAGAAGTAATATATTTCCGCACTGTCCCTTTGATTACTATCAGTCAATGATGACACATATAAGCAAGTTAGATTTAATACCTAACTATTGTCAAATACTAACATAATAGTATATCAGCCAGAAACAAAAAGCTCACCTTCACATTAAGGAATTCTCCAGGCTGAAAATCCATAATCTGCAGTTAAGGGTACAAAGTCCAAACATCAGCCATACAGACAAAAGTTACAAGAGTATCATCTTCATTTCAGCCAAAGAAAGTTTACTTAGACATATCATACTTAAGTAAACAAAAGGAACTAAATTTAAGGTTTACATTTATTAAGTATGGAAATTATAACAAAATGGGATTTCTAACAAGTTGGAAACAACCTTCAAGTGGTGCATCACAGCAATAATTTGAATAATAAAAGTACTCAAACGCCAGTCCCCTACTCCCTCTAGTGAGCCACTGCCAATTAAACCTAACGTATAATTCACAACCATCACTCATGCAGTAAACTGCATCACCTTATCCTTTAAGTTTATTACCATGAAGATCAATTGTCGGATTTAGCAAACATGAAATTGTTTTATCCCAATTTATCATCCAAAGGTCCCCAACAAAATTGACCAAACTTAAATGCAGCACATCTGCTTCAGTATCAACCCAAAAAATTTGGATTTTGATTTACAGCAGATGATGCAAATTACATTAAATTGGTATTTGCAGATAATATAGACAATAATCATAGACTAAATAAGGACAAAGAGTAAACTTGGGGACAGTGATTGTTGCTTACATGGATATTAAAGTCATAAGGAACTGATGCTGGAAGAAGCTTCCTAAGTTCAAACACCTGTTCACATCACATTAGAGGAAACATCAACACAGTCAAGTAGTAATATTATAAACAAATCCAGAGATCACCATGTATATTAGTTCAGCATGGGGATCCTTTTCACTTTTCTATGGAAAAACAAATTCTTGATAAACATTTTTAAGATCAAAACAATGCAATGCAATTCGAACACTTTTCTTAAAGGAGAAATAGTTTTGTCTCCAGTCTCCATATATCAAAATTGGGAACCTAGAATTTACTACTGACAGCAGAAGAGCAAAGAAGAAGAGGGAGATCAAGAGTACCTCACCGGGAGTTTCAAGAAGTGGCTGCTTATCTGTCGAACCAACTATATGCCCAGTAATATGATTGTCCAAAAAGGCATATCTACAGGAGGGTGAGTAACACAAAAGAAGATAATTATGGATCTTAATAATATACAACATAGAACTATTACATCATCCTAACAGGATTATTTCTAAACCCAATTACCTTGGTCTTCACAATAAAATAATAAGAGAACTTTAACAAATAAGCAACTTAAGAAGTGAACACAATAGCATAAAAAGCTCTGCAGGTAACTCATCAAGCACTCCATGAAAATTAAACAATATTGTAACGATAAAAACCAAACCAAACTAGGAAGGTAACTAGTTAAGATGGTCACCAGTTGGTGTGTAATAACGTACCTTCGTTCAAATACTGCAAGAGTAGCGGATTCATCACACTTCAGAGAATGTTCAAAATTAGGAGGTAGATAAGCATATGAATCCACCTGCATGAGTAAAAGAATGTATAAAAAATTTTGAATTAAAAGTATCCATGTGTTCCCTTCTTCTTCTTCTTCT